TCCACAACCGCCACCTGTTCAAGGACAAGGTGGTGCTGGACGTGGGCAGCGGCACCGGCATCCTCTGCATGTTCGCTGCCAAGGCGGGGGCCAGGAGGGTCATCGGGGTGAGCCCCAAATCTGGGGGGTTTTGGGGTGAATTTGGGGGGTTTTGGGAAAAAATTGGGAGAAATTTGGAGGATTTTGGGTGAAATTTGAGGGATTTTGGGTGAAATTTGGGGGATTTTTGGGTGAAATTTGGGGGATTTTGGAGCAGATTTCGGTGTCCTGGCAAAGCCAGAGCATCTCCGGGGGAGATTTCGGGGAGATTTGGGGGATTTTGGGTGAAATTTGGGGGATTTGGAGCAGATTTGGGGTGAATTTGGGGGATTTTGGGAAAAATTTGAGGTATTTTGGGGGAATTTTGGGGGATTTTGGGTGAAATTTGGGGGATTTTGGTGTTTTTTGGGTGGATTTTGGTGTTTTTTGGGTGGATTTTGGGGTTTTTTGGGTGGATTTTGGGGGTTTTTGGGTGGATTTGGGTGGTTTTTAGGTCATTTTTGGGGGGTTTTGGGTGGATTGGGGGGTTTTGGGGTGATTTTGGGGTGTTTTGGGTGGATTTTGGGGGTTTTTGGGGTTTTTTGGGGTGTTTTGGGGTGGATTTTGGGGTCCCACGCTGCCCCTCCCGCAGATCGAGTGCTCGAGCATTTCCGACTACGCCGTCAAGATCGTCAAGGCCAACAAACTGGACCACGGTGAGAGCCCAAAAACTCCCAAAAACACCCCAAAATCACCCCAAAATCACCCCAAAAATCACCCCAAAATCACCCCAAAAAAGCTTTTTAAATACCCCCAAAAATTAAAAAAAATAATCCAAAAAAATCCCCCAAAAATCTCAAGAAAACCTTCAAAAAATCCCAAAAAAATCCCAAAAAAACCCCAAAAAATCCCCCCAAAAAACCCTTTTAAAACCCCTTCAAAATCCAAAAAAAATCCAAAAAAAAAATCCAAAAAAAATCCCAAAAAGATCCCATTAAAAAAACCCAAAAAAATCCCAAATAACCCCTTAAAAATCCCTAAAAAAATCCCAAAAAAATCCCCCAAAAAATCCCTTTTAAAACCCCTTCAAAATCCAAAAAAACCCCAAAAAAAATCCCTTCAAAATCCAAAAAAAATCCCAAAGAATCCCTAAAAAAAACCCAAAAAATCCCCAAAAAATTCCCCCCAAAAAACTTTTTTAAAACCCCTTCAAAATCAAAAAAAAATCAAAAAAAAATCCCTTCAAAATCTAAAAAAAACACCCAAAAAAATCCCAAAAAAACCCCAAAAAAACCCCAAAAACTCCCCCAACCCCCCCAGCCGCTCCCAATTCCCTCCCCTTTCCCGAGCATTCCCGTTTTTCCCGTTTTTCCAGTGGTTTCCATCATCAAGGGCAAGGTGGAGGAGGTGGAGCTGCCGGTGGAGAAGGTGGACATCATCATCAGCGAGTGGATGGGATATTGTCTGTTCTACGAGTCCATGCTCAACACCGTCATCTACGCCCGTGACAAGTGGCTGGTGAGCCCCAAAACCCCGGGGATTCAGCCCAAAAATCCCGGGAATTTATCCTAAAAATCCCAGGAATTTATCCTAAAAATCCTGGGGATTCAGCCCCAAAATCCCGGGAATTTATCTTAAAAATCCTGGGAGTTATCAGAGAAATCCTGGGAATTCAGCCCCAAAATCCTGGGGATTTATCCCAAAAATCCTGGGAATTTATCCCAAAAATCCTGGGGATTCAGCCCAAAAATCCCAGGAATTTATCCCAAAAATTTGGGAAAAAATCCCCAAAAATTTGGGAAAAAATCCCAAAAAATTTGGGAAAAAATCCCAAAAATTTGGTAAAAATCCCCAAAAAACCCTAAAAAAATCTCATTTTTCCCTTTAAATCTCCCTTTATCCACCAAATCCCGCCTTAAAAATTCCCAAAAAAAAAATCCTGGAATTCCCCTGGACCTTGAGCATCCCGGGGAGCCCCAGACAGCCTTGGGAATTTTGGGAATTTTGGGAATTTTGGGAATTCTGCAGACCCCGGACGGGCTGATCTTCCCCGACCGCGCCACGCTCTACGTGACGGCCATCGAGGACCG